AATGAACTTAAATCTATATTTTTTATATGGCAAATATGTATAATTGACAGTCAGTTGTACACCTCCCTAATTACAATACTGAAATAGAACACACATATTAAGATAGAATAATAATAGTATCTACATATACAAAGTAAATATTCACAATTATTATTATTATTATTATTATTATTATTATTATTATTATTATTATTATTATTATTATTATTATAGTAGTAGTAGTAGTAGTAGTAGTAGTAGTAGTAGTATTTAATTTTTAGTGATATGGGTTATTCCGTTGTCAAAGGTTTGATTGAAATTTGATACGTTTCAGTTGGGATATGTAGATCCTGCTCGGATTACTTCAATATAGCCATTATGACACAATAATAATAATCACGACATTAAAAATAAAAATGGTAATAATAATAGTTATTATTATATGTAATAGATAGAATGTGTTTATCAATAGAATACAGGAATTACATTCTGTTTCGATTGTATCGGGGCTATCTTTAGATGATCCACAAATACCAACCATCATTTAACAAATTTCAACCAACTTGTCAACAGTAAGATAATTCAAACTTATTAATAATGATATGAACATCATAGCTGTTGAAGAAGTTAGTGACTAACTGAACTCCGTTGATCGGTAGGTAGAGAGTTGTTTTTTTTAAAGGAAATGGCACTGGATTTGAGTCATGGAATGAACGTCATCTCTGGGATTCAGGCACATCCAGCTAAGTCCCAAATGGGATGAAATCTTCGTCTTGGTTTTCATTGCTAGCCACATTCTATCTATTCTATATTATTGTGAATACTATAACTAATTATTATTATGTGTTACTGTATGTTTCATCATACCATTTAGGAAATTAAACCGACTATGGTCTTCGGTAATGCAAGTCTATCGATCCAAGTGTCTTCAAACTAACTTATAAACACCGGTTTCTTCCTTGTTCTCTGTGTAGAATGAGGACTCTATTAAACCATGAAATGTAGTTAAGACGTCTGTGACCAGCTATAAAACTTAATAAGGTCGATCGAACAATTAGTGAAGTAAATTCTTTATCTGCTGTACAATGTTATAGAAGGTTTTCTGATTGCTATAGTAGCTGTTGGATAGAAACTTACTTTAACAATATCAAACTAAATCATCTTTGATATTTCATCTTATATGAGTCATCCGTGTTAATGCTCGATGTTATTGATGTATATTTTTGAGGATCGCACTATTTTGTACTTATCCTTTTTGGCATAAACCCAACTCTACATAGAAAACACACCTGGACTTTCATGTTTCGTAGTATGTATGATATCACTTATAAAATGAGCCAGTGCTCAATAGTTCGAACATGTTTACATCAAAATATTTTGACATTCACTTCTAAATCACTACGTCACATTTTTATGAAACAACTTACATCCACAACAAACTATGGATATCGTCAGCATAATAAACACTTTTAAGCAAAGCCATTAAGTTCGTTTGTAGTGATAACGAAGAAAATTGAAATTACCACCTTTTTTATCTATACAAAATACAGTAATTTCTTTTCTCAGTATTTCAACTATTAAATTACATGTATATAAACTGAAATACTTTGCCCATTCATTCAAAAATGTACAAAATCACGCCCAGTTCTTGAAGTACTCAATATCAAGCTATGATGAATGAATTAAATCTAGAATATAATGATTGGATAATATGTACATTGGATAAAAGGATATTGATTATAGGTTTAAAAAGCAATAAATGATGCCATAATTTTAATAAAGATAATTTCATTTCCTAAAACCAATTAGATTACCATTCTATTGGTTATTGTTTTACAAATTCGAATCAAACTGTTTTTCTTTTACCAAAATTTCAAACTTTACTTCATACTCACATTTTATAGTTTTGGTGTTGTAACGTAAGCTTATAGAATATTTGTAACATTAGTAACACGGTAAAATAGAAACGACGTTTGGTTGGATCAATATGTTTAATTGGTCAGTTGTAGTTTGTTAGAAGTTAATATATCTTATGGATTGAACGATACTTTGTTATATCCTGGTCGTCGCTGATTGTTACGTCAGAATCGCTTATCACATATACTTGTAAAACGAGGAACCACTGTAATTCCCACGACGCGAAAGTAAGAATACAAAGACTGATACAAGTGAAGATTCATTATACGTGAGAATTATATTTGAAATAATCTCAGAGATTGAAATTTAAAATAATTCTAACGTTTCGTCCAGTAAACGTGTGTGGACTTCTTCAGGGTAATTATCAAAATCATCAAATAAATATATAGTGTTTAGCAATCAAATCAAATCTATTCTGTGTAGTCCAATCATATTTGGATGTTGACTTTAGTAAATAGGATAAAATGTGACAGTTAGATGTGAATCATGTGAAAAGTTCACGACGTGAAGATAAATGACTGAACGAATTTTATGTGTGTATGTATGTGTAAGATTGAGTTATCAGTAGTGGATAATAGGTGTTCATAAATCTATATATGAAGAAAAAATCAAAGTACAAGTTGAAGGTTGAAAAATTGTTTCTGATTCATTGATGTGCAGATTTATTAACCCCAAAACACGACGACGACCCTAGTCGAAAATACACTCATATATATATATATTGATTTCTACACCTATTTTGATTGATAATTAGGATAAAATCGCATATGAAAAATACCCAGATTTATAATAAATCATATACTGTATGTCATGTTAATTAAATACAAGAATATCATATCTTGAATAGAACATCGCACTCAAATAAATTAATATTATACCGAATAAAATATCACACTGGAGTAATTATCTCATTGAATTAAAAACAGAAGTATTGTTGGACATAAATTATAATAATTAAATCAACCTAATTTTCACTTTTCTTCTCGTCACATCAGAAGTTAATTGAGTTGAGAATATACGCTCATCGCATCGGGAGATTTACTCCAATGTCAATTTCAGCCAACTGATTGAGTTGTTCATTACATATTGTTTATTATTAGTTCAATTACTGTAATTTAAACATTTAACCCACTATGTAAAATTAGATGAGTCTGATTGAACGTATATCTGCATATCAATCTTTATCTTGTAGTGTCTGTGCTTCGTTAACCAATCACCCTCGTAACTGTTACCATATAATCCTCAACGATGTTTGAAATCAGAAGGCAAAGAGAAGCAGCGACTACAGTTTTATTAGCAGATAACTCAGACCACAAAGCAGTGAGGCGAATGAGTGAGTCAATGAACCGAGAGTGTAGAGTGTTAAATGTATATATATATAGGGAAATGAATGGATCATCGAATCAACTAAGGCGTTAGTAATAAAGCTAGCAGAATGAATATATACGTAGGCGGTAAACAATGTTCGAGCATACATATTTCATACAAGCACAACAATAATAAAGGTACAATAAGTTGTTATAGTACAGATGACTTTATCCGCTAAATAAGTTAACAAAAGGGCTTAACCGATTAAATGAGAACAAACTCATTTGCACGTGAGTTGCTATAATCTATTCTCTCATTGGTTGTAAACACAAACAATCAATAATTTATCCACAATCGATAAACACTTAGAATTAGATTTGGATTTTTTAACACTCACACTAGCTTCCCTGAGTGCTTGCGGATTTTATCAATTATTAACAATCAACTATCTCTACAGCTGGTGTTCTGGCTATAATCTCGAGCGAATCCATAATACTATTAGGAAATTTAGCTTGAGTAAATACTCAGTCAACAGGATACCATTTATTGGAGTCAGATAAAGAGGAAATTAGCCTCTACATTTGTCTTAATATGATATTTCTTATTGTCCTTATACTAATATTGTTAAATGTATTTAAAGACAGTATGCATCAGCTTGATTGTGTCTGTTTCGATAATCCTAATGAATATACTACTTTTAAGGTGGCTGAAGACTAAACAAAGTCAAGACAAGGTATCATTTTTGCTTTATTATCGAGACTCTTTTTGCGTTAAATTAGATTATCCATATATTGACCGCTAACTGTTCATCTTAATGTGGAGACTGAATTAGCATCAAACAATTTATCATATGTTCCTTATGAACATCCCGCTTACAACTTCAATCTATAATAAGTTAAAAATATTGACTACTGCTTGTGGTTTTCAGCGTTTCAAACCGACAAAAATTGTTTCCGTGCTGTTCGAATTTCGTAATATTGTTATAATCATTCCTTGTTTATAGTTAAATTTATATAGAGAACAATGATAACATTATATTCTCCGATGAATCACCTATTAAGTGACTGAATTTGTAGTTCTGTCACAGTCACCTACATAATAAAAACTTGTGTTCCTGTGATAAAGTATAACACTAGATAATCAGTGAAAATGACAGAATTTCATATAATGTTCTTAATTGATCGCTCATTTATTATATTATTGACTTTTTATGTCTCGTTTTATTACAATACATATGTGTAAATAATGTTGTTATAATTGGAATCATGAGTCAGTTGAAGCTAGACCACCATGGAAAACCCGAAAGCACTGGATGGCCGTTTCATCCTAGTATGGGACTCCTCGGCAGTGCGCATTCAGATCCCGCACCCCGCGAGATTCGAACCCAGGACCTAACCCGTGCCGGGTAGAAACAGGTGTCTACCTCAGTACAATGGAAGATGGTCGCGCAATTTCGTGGACTGGGTGAAGTTATTCATTAACAACATTGGATGCCGGCTCAGTGGTCTAGTTGGTTAAGCGCCTGGCGCGGAACTTATAGGTCCTGGTTTCGAATCTCGCGGGGGGCGGGATCGTGGATGCGCACTGCTGGGGAGTCCCATACTAGGATGAAATGGCCGTCCAGTGCTTCCAGGTTTTCCATGATGGTTTAGCTTCAATTGACTCATGATTTCAATTTGCTCATAATACTCATTTGATTCATGATATAGTTTTGAATAGACATAAATATATGTAAAGTCTCATAAATAAGTTGTTTCAATTATTCGTGAATAAATTATTTCATTTAAATAATTTATTCCACATTAACATAATACAATTCATCAATGTCACTATCAAAGACACAAATAATACAAAATACTTTGAAAGTTAGATTTTACAAAAAAACTGTTTAAATCTAAGGGTATAATGAAAAACTGATTGCAATCAATAGAAAACTAATTTAGATCACAGATTTTACGCTTAAGTAACAAGCAGTTTATTTCAATGCAACAATAAAGACTGTGAGGAGTGGATAAAAACAACAACAACAACAACAGCAAAAGTGTAAAATATACATCCCTGAGTAGTTAAGTTCCAATACAACTATACCAAATATAACAAAATGTGTTAGTAATCATACAAAGATATCCCGAAATATGAATGAAATCAAAAAGGAGAACAACGACAACGTGTTTCATGTTTATCTAAGAAATTATATCAAAATACTTTCCCAATTTGAACAAATACTTCACATTCAATAAAGATTAATAACAGTAATAAAATAATTGTAGTTAAGAGGAAAATGTTTCGCCAAAATTTAAATTTAAATAAAACAATAGTACAATAAAAAATAGATTTTAATCCTATAAATATAGTGATGAATAAACAATAAATAAATATAGTACAATAACGATTATACAATGGTAATACTGTATAAATAATAGATTTATTTTTATATATTTGTAATAAACCTATACCAGTTATATGAGGATACCCAGAACGATAAGTACATGATGGTACACCAATTGAAATTAATTCCCCATATACTTTTGCATGATTGATAAGTGTATATTTTTCTTTAGTTTCTAATAATTTTAAACTATCATTTAATTTAAAACTAAATGGTTGTGATGATATACTTGATAATTGTGGTGTTTGAATCCATTCAACATTTGATTGTGTATTATCAGAATTCTTAGTATTTTTCCAATGAATAATTTGACTCTAAATGAAATAAATAAAGAAAATATTGATAATTTCATGAAATAAATAAATAGTTCTAAGACTGATTTTATAACGAGTCAATATTGTATAATCATTCATCACCATTCATGAAATAAAATACAAATATCTGTATCTAACCCCTAACTCAGATTTATTTCAAATCATAAGTTCATTTGAAAACCAAAAAAAGTTGTTTTTTTCATTTCGTGGTGGAAGTAAATATATTTGTTGATGTCCCACTGTATTTTCCTTCAACGTCACTGATGAGTGATTTTTTCACTAGAAAATAGAGTAATTCCTATACCCTTAATTGTTATTACTACTTACTGATGTCTAATTGAATGGATTGGATTGGTTGAAGTTAGACATTTACACCGTTGGATGCCGGCTCAGTGGTCCAGTAGGTTAAGCGTTCGCGCGCGAGACTGAAGGCCCTAAGTTTGATTCCAGCGAGCAGGATCATGAATGTGCACTGCTGAGGAGTCCCACAATAGGACGAAACGGCCTCCCAGTGCTTCCAGGTTTCCAACAGTGCTATAAAACCAATCGGTTCATGATCTCAATAAAAAATCTTCATTTGTCATACTAAAAGAACACTTGCCTCAGTCTTCATGTTTCTCAAGTATAAAAATATGATAACAAAACATCAAAAATATGAATATAATCATTTACTAAAAATATACACAACTGATTGTATGCTGCATTCAGTTAATAAAATACATGTAATTGTACCACTCCTCAGAGATATTTTTCTATGGCTTATCAATTGCTAATTTACATAAAATGAACGATAAGTCACTGTCATAGTTAGGAAATTCCAAATTGATAGATATTAAAACTATGATTATATTGATCGACTTTATTTCACTAACAATATTCTTTTTCACATTATCTGATTCGTATAACATGAATAGATAGTGTTTAGTGTACTGTCATATATACTAATGAAGTTTTATGTTTCCTTTTAATATTAGGAATTATGGCATAATCACAATTGATTGGTCACTGGGTGGTGATCAATCTCATGCTTGTCTAGTCCTTATTAGTGCAGATCGAATGCTATCGATCATGTTGCAATGTGGCCACCAGTCTAGGTGACTCGACACTGCGGGCACTATGTATTGAGATTAGATGGTGGTTGGAGGTAGTCAACAGGAAACCCTGGACCCGGGTTTCGTGCTACTTGGCACTCGTCAGCAAGGTGTACCTGTAATCTTGAGGGAACTGGTGCTCCCTGGCGGATTCGATCTCTCACTAATAAGGACTAGACAAGCATGAGATTGATCACCACCCAGTGACCAATCAATTGTGATTACATCTCAGTCCTACAGGAGGTTAGTCACGGCTCGGATAGCTCAGTGGTAACGTCTCTGACTGTGAAGCTGGGTGGCACGAGATCGAATCCGCCGACAAAATCACTACAATCAATCTTATGCAAACCAAAAGATGAAATAACAAAGGAAAACAAACCAAACATCATCTACAAGATAAATTGTGCCAACTGCGAAAAACACTACATCGGACAAAGCGGACGCCCCCTTCACCTTCGCCTACATGAATACCAATTAGCAGACAAACGGCATGATATCTCTTCACTTATATCAACACACGTGGACAACTGCGGACACTCATTCGATTGGAAAAGTGTGGAAATCTTAGACAGAGGAAACTCCAAAAACACCAGAGAATTTTTAGAAGCCTGGCACTCAGGTCAGTCAGCAATCAATAAGCATATTGAAATCAAACCAATTTATCAACCAATCAGAAAAATCATGCACAAACATAAGAACAAAAATCAAAACAATGGGAGACACAACCAAGACAAAGAAGTAAACAACGACAAATTTAAGGTCAATAAGAACCAATCAACGTCGAGGTGCACAGAACAAGCTTTGAGACACATATGGAGAAATTCAAACACTTCACTTCTATCTGAAGTTTGTGCTGATGATGTCGTTCGGAAGAACGATGAAAGCTCCACGACCAAACCATCCAGCTCAGAGAACAAAACTCCACCAAAATCATCCACCTGAGCTACAAATCTTCTCCACCATCTCAGAATCATTAATATTTTCAGAAGGGGTTTTGTGGAGATTTTAGAAATTTCACTGGTTGAAATCATGATTCAATTGAAGCTAAACCATCATGGAAAACCGGGAAGCAGTAGACGGCCGTTTCGTCCTAGTATGGAACTCCTCGGTAGTGCGCATCCACGATCCCCCCTGCGAGATTCGAACCCAGGACCTATAAGTTTCGCGCCAGGCGCTTAACCAACTAGACCACTGAGTCTGCATCCAACGGTGTTAAGGTCTAACTTCAATATTTGTTGATGTAATTACTCCATGATTAAATGACGAAACATTATTTTTCGACTGTCTTTGTCTTAAAATGAACTCGTCCTAAATACTGAAGAGCATCAAAGCCCAAAGCTGAGGATGTCAAAACACTGACTAGTAGTGTCATTGCAATTTTGTCGATCGAATCCTACTACCACTAAATGACCAAAGAAATATTACCGTCAATTTCACTGAATATTATTACACATCATTTAAATATACAAATAGTAGTCGATTCACAATATATACTATAATTAAATGTTAGACGGAGTAACTCACTCTGTGAAGATGACCATGAATACTTAAAGAGGCATTTGCTTTAAGTAAATTCGAAGGGAACTGGACATATTCCTGAGAGATAACTGGAAAATGACTGATATATACATTAATTTCATCAGAATTTTCATTAGATATTTTAGGTGTGGTTTCAGGCTCCCTATAATCCTTAAAAAGAAATTGTGAGAAATAATGATAGTTACTGAGTAGAAATTAACAAATTTATATTTGTAATCTCCATAGTTAACAGGTAGATTAGCAAAGAAACGGGTTAACGTTTTTTGTCTAATCAGATTTCCTTCACCACCGATATCATTATCTCCAGGTGTCAAAATGACCTACGACAAAATGAATTCAGTGAAAACTTGCATACAAATAAATCATTCTCAGAAAGAAATATCTTTCGAAAACGTGATGTTGCATGTATAAAATCTGAATTTAATGATATATCTCCTGTATCCAGGAGATCTCCCAAAAACATAACGCCATTAGGATTTGTTCGTTGTACAGCTTTTATGAAATAAAATCGAAGATAACTAGTATAGTATAGTAACTTTCAATTTACTCATCACTGTCAGCCTGTAGTATTTCATTGAAAATCCATAGATTCGAATGATAACCTTCAATATGGGAATCAGCTATGAGTAGAATCCTCACTTCATCTTCACTTGGTCTAAAATTATGAGAATATACAGTTTAGTAGCCAACTTAGTATGAGGCAGTCTCCATGCGTTCAATGAAATGTACGGATGTATGATTTCACCGTAGATTAGACAAATTATTATAACACAGAATTGTAATACAGGGTATTGCAAATAGCGGGAACTTTTAATCTCCATGTCATAACAAGTGAGAAGTTTGTATTTTTAACCTCTAGTTGGTTAATTTGAAAATTAGAAAATAAACCAACGTTACAATGTGATTGGATTACAGGAAAACTGATTTTTGTATGGCTATTCTCAACGAGCCAATCAGATTTCTAAGCTAAGACTGCTAAGGGTGAACGTTAGATTTCACCACTAAAAAACGTTGTCTGTTGTTTAGAATGTGAGGGTTAATTTTTAGAATTCAACTTACTATAATACCTATTATTATTATTATTATCTATTATTATTAATTATTATTATTATTATTATTAAGTGGGAAACAGTATATGATAGTAATAATGATATATTCTGAAAATAACAATTGCGGAATTCATGCCAGTTAACAGACACGATCAGCTTGACATAGATAGTAATGTTAAATGTGGAGGACAGATATAATATTAAGTTGTTTGAAGGTTTCTAGTTCGAAATTTTCACGATTTTCACATATATTACAGATATGAAAGACGTTAGCCGAGAACTTCTATTTCTATTTGTCATAACTTGTGGCCTTGTGCCCTATTAATATATAACTTAATGATACCACCATTTAAAGAACAGTGACTTATCGACCGGACCGATGACGCAGTTTAGAGTTCTTTCTGGTCCTTCTTCCTGCCTAGCCCTACCTGTTGAGTTCAGAACTCCAATCTAAGCCTCTGCGACATAAATCATGTATTTCAAACATCCTGAGTTTATATTCAAGCCACATCTCACTACAAAATAGAAAACAACATTTGTACAAGATCTTGTGGTGTCGGTTGCTATGTTAAGCCCATATAACTTATTCTATCTTCTGGATAAGCCAATTTATCCATTCTTCTTGAGTCACGTTTTGACCTTGTTAATTATTCACTTATCAGTCTTGACTGTTTCTATATGAGCATATGTGTGTGTATATCTTATCCTACTCTTCACATGTCTGTAGCTTATTTTGTGTGACTATAAACATTGATTAACTCTTGACTAAATGGGGTTATCTCACACGCCTTCTCCACCGCGCGTCGTTTCGCTTCGCTCTCTCCTATTCGCTTCATCCCTCTCATTTCCTGTCCAGATCAGTGAGTGTACAAGATATATGTATTGGGAAATCCATTCTCGTATTTGACTTATTTAATTCTGTTATTCACCAACGCGAATTAAGTCAATAATTGTATACGAGGATTGACGACATATATATTTCGATAGCAATCATTCAATGGCGATCAAAATATTGTCTAAATGAAGTCAGATCCCGGGCCAATAAAATCTAACCAAAAATGGCTGTGAATGTGTGAGACTGTGATTAATCGACTGGACATAACTCAAGAACGGTAAATCGTATAATAATAATCTATGGGTTAGAATAAAGCTTTTAATAAGAACATGATTATGTTTAGTTTAGCTACATAATGATTATACAACAAAATATATGTATTATATTGGTCCATATTTCCATGTTACCATTCATAATTCTCGTCGGGATATAACATTATGTGAATGAACACCCTGTTGATGTATTTCAAGTTGTTTCCTGCGCCATCAGGGAGTTATTATAATCATCTACAACAGGAGAAAATAAAACAGAAACAGGGTGCACGGAACAATAAAATCAATAGTTACTACGACTGGTAAATCAGGTCTACCATAATACATATGCCAGGTTATTTTGTGACATACTGTTCTTGTTAGATATTATTAAAATTAGTTGAGGTTACTTTGAACGGTGTTAAAGTATCAGCAGGTAAGAAGGTTTACTGAGTGGATTCTTAAGTAAAAGCTTCTAAACATTTGAATTCCCTATAATCACATTTGTGGAATGGGATGTACTTACTGGTGTAAGAACATTTGAACTTTTTTCAGAGGAGAAGCAAGCATTGATGCAGCGAACAAAGGATAGGACTGAATTTATTTCATGGACAGATTGTGGTAAATTATCCCACGGTCTGGAAAAATTACTGATAAAGTGATTCATATGGAGAGAAGATTTAGAATGCGATTGTTTCACTAATGACAAAGAGTGATGTTTGATTCCAAGTTTATTTCATGTGGACTTATAATTTAGGTCACAGTTAGTCCCAAGAATTCAAATGTAGATCATCTCTAAAAAGATTCCATCCTTAATTTATCATTTATGCGAACACTGCTAAGAATAAAAGTGGTATATTCTAGGAGTGGTCGAACATGAAAATGCGTGACTTGTAAGTCTGTTTCAAGACCTGTTCTATGAACGAACTATTGTAGGGGTACCCAAGTCGACTATCGTTTGTAGCTTAGATTACACCTTACCATTTGTACTTACTTACTTACTTACGCCTGTTACTCCTCGTGAAGGAGCATAGGCCGCTCACCAGCATTCTCCATCCAACCCTGTCCTGGGCAATCCTTTCTAGTTCCGTCCAGTTGTAATTCATCGTTTTCATATCTGCTTCTATTATCCGACGCAATGTGTTCTTTGGCCTTCCTCTTTTCGCTTCCCTTCAGGATTCCAAGTTAGGGCTTGCCTCGTGATGCAGTTTGACAATTTGCGTAATGTATGTCCTATCCATTTCCATCGTCTTTTCCTAATTTCTTATTCAGCTGGAAGTTGGTTTGTTCTCTCCCACAGAAGGCTATTGCTGATGGTATCCGGCCAATGGATGTTGAGTATCTTGCGAAGACAGCTATTTATAAATACTTGTACTTTCTTGATTGTGGTTGTTGTAGTTCTCCAAGTTTCAGCTCCATACAGTAGAACTGCCCTGACGATCGTATTGAAGATTGTGACTTTGATATTGGTTGAAAGTTGTTTTGAGTTCCATATGTTCTTCAATTGTAGGAATGCGACCCTTGCTTTGCCGATCCTCGCCTTTACGTCTGCATCGGATCCTCCTTGTTCATCGATGATGCTTCCCAGGTATGTGAAGGACTCTACATCTTCCAGAGTTTCGCCATCAAGTGTGATTGGATTGCTGTTCTCCGCTTTGAATTTGAGGACCTTAGTTTTCCCTTTGTGTATGCTGAGGCCTCCGCCTGTAGCTCTTATAGGGTTGCTGCCGGTCCCAAGCCCGGGTAAAGGAGGAGGGTTGGGCATGGAGTTAGCGTCCCCATCCCGTAGAAAACTAACTCGCTAAAAAAACGCTTACCAGAAAAAATAATCCAAACCATTTTACCATTTGTAGTAAGATCTAAGTTGAGTGAAGTATATCCATCCATATTTAACCGTGTTAAGCCCCAACTCTCATTTTTGACACCACTGGACTACCTTGTTGAGTTCCATACAGAGAAAATTCTGTATATTGTTTATCTCATGAGGAGAAAGTGAATACACGACTTTGTGATACGCTGTTGGTGTTAGATATCATTCAAACTAGTTAAGGCTACAAGAGCCGGTGTTAGTGTAAAGTATCAGCACGTAAGGAGGTTTGCTTGGTGGATTCAGTAATAAAAACGATTAGACATTTAAAATTCCTATAATCTCACTAGTGGAGTGAGATATAATTACAGGTATAAGAACATTTAAAACATTTCCAGAGGAAAGACAAGCATCGATGCAGCAAACCTAGTAGTCTATCTTGCCCAACGGGAAAGTAGTGAGAAAAGATTTATCTTGAAAATTCAGTGTACAAGAATTGTTGGGAGCAACCATGAGACACGTTTGTTCCTTTCACTCTATCTAATATTAGATCTGTTTACAACATGGTTGTGGTGGGTGTTTTGTGTGCCAGTCGAGCGGAGTATATATCTTAGATTGAGAAAGTGGGGTTTTGACAAATAAGCTATTGTTTGTATGTTGAGCTGAAATGAAGTGATTGAACAACCAATTCTTGTCTCTGTGCCCACATAACAATCTTTGTGATCATTGTGGTCAAACCTAGTGTCGGAGTATATGTACTTGTTTGGCCGAGCCCTTGTAATATTTTAGAACAAGACACTCCCGTATATACTCTCTTATAATGTAGTGTAGACTTTTTTTACTTAAACGGTGTTTTGAATAGCTCTCACGTAGAACTAGGCGTTTGTGTATGAGCTTCTAATGTTACATTGAGAGATATCAGATCAGAAGGCACATGATCTATACCTACATCGGGTTTACTTTGTTTATCTGAGATCACTACAGGCTTGAGTAGCAAGTTAGTGTTCTTCATTGATAAATTAGTGTTGGCTGACAGACAATATGTTAGTCGCATGAGTTGGTCCTTTTGACGAGGCGACATGGTTCGTTGCAATTCCTACGTCATTATCTTGGTTTAAGGTACGCTTTTGCATTAGCCTTTGATTAATGGTTTTATCTGAGACTCAACGGGCATTCCTGAACTTCGAAAGTGCGCGGGATAGCCATCCGGATTCCTTCAGTCATTCAATTGCTAAATGTGAGTCGAATCTAAGCAAGGTGGGGCACGAGAACTTCTGGTGCTTTTAGTTAAGATAAACACACTGACATGGACTATCTTAAAGGCTAGCTGCATTCAGTATCGCATGCCTCAGTGATTTGAACTTTTTTTTAGGGCATTTCATAGATAAACACGTTATTTCTAGAAATCATTCACCTAGTAACTTCTCTGAAAATATAATTGATAGTAGGTGCTGCTTTAACAATGTTCTCATGCTCTACAGTAACCATGTTCTTCGACAATAGTAGCTTAAGGAGTCATAAAGCCTTATTTCTTGCTTAATATCATCATGTATTGATGGAAGACTTACAAGTGACTACACGTTAGATCACACTTCTTTTAATTACTCACTTTTTATATTATCAGTGCTAATGACTGTTGATGTGAAACTCGTTAGTAAGTTAGATACTGAGTTATCTATCGGCATGTGTGGCATAAGTTCGATAATGACACAA